CACAATTGTATACCACTTTGTGTTGGTCTTTCACATTAAATTCCAGTGAAATATATTTATGTTTGTGGTTGTAATGTGACAAAATATGGAAAAGTTCAAGGGGTATGAATACTTTTGCAAACCACTGTAAATGGTGCACAGTCAGTTCCAGTGTCCTCATGTGCACTGTGCCCACAGGAAAACAACAATTTCAAAGGTTCTTTGTCTTAGCATGCTTTGTTGAATATTTAACTTTTTTGCATTGGCAGGCAACATGCCTCTATTTCCAAGAAAAAACCTCCCTTCCCATGTAGTTCAAAGGAAAATTAGGAGTTATTCCCAGCTACAGAGACCATATATTTTTAGGTGATGTTCGCTGTTGTATGTTTTGAATTATAGCATAGAAGATCCAGTTTTTTTTCTTTTGTGTACTTGTTGAAACAGAAATTTGAATGGTGAGATTTTTGCTTCTTATTAACCCTTCTGTTAGAAGAAACTAGTTTATTTTTCACTGTGGAAAGGGAAGGAATGAAGGAACTTAATTATTACGAATTTGCAATCAGTTTATTTTTTTTTCAGATTGGTACTTGTTGTTCACACAGTAAATGGTTTCATTAGGGAATGAGTTAAAATGAGGATGTGAAGCTGTGTCAGAAAAGTGTTTTCCTCTTACTTAAAAGCACTAATCCAGTTTTATTTGACAGCATTATTAGTTTTACTGCAACTATTACCCTTGTGTTGTCTTTTTTATCAAGGTTGCAAATTTTCATCAGATCCTTTCAGTACTTCTCTCTCTCTCTCTTTTTCCACGGACAGAAGAATTTGACTTTGTGTGTTACCAGCAATGACTGCCATGATGCAGATCAACAGGTCYCAGAAATACAAGCAAGTATAACATTTTAATATGCACTTGTATGAAAGTATGTTTATCTGAACCAGCCAAAAAGAGAAACCACAAATTACAGTATGCAGAAAAAATGTGTACATATTGTGCAACGTCATCTGATTTATAGGTGAAACTGTACCACCTATCAACAACTGCTTTATTTTAACTGAACAATAAAATGCAAAATGCCAAAAGTCTATATTTAAGACGCATCCCTCAAGGCAGAAATTCAATGTCAAAGAGGTAAACACATGTATCATTACTGACAAGTCTGGGAAAAAGTGACATCACTGATATCAGTGTGAGCAAATTTATAGTTTCGAATCAACCAAACTATWACAGATACAGAATTACTGAGAAGATTAAACCTGTATCAGTTTTAAAGCTTTGGGCTGTGATCTGTCTACATCATAAAAAAAAAATCATACTTCAACAAATAAAACAAAATAAAAAAAAATGCTTTGCAAGTAAAGTTGTGAATATAGATTTCACATAATCTGTTTGTGCTCAGAGTATTTATTGGAGATAAATTTTAGCTACTAACAAATGAAGTTTCAGCTCTGTATTTGTAAAACCAACTTAAGTTGTAGCTGTTTTTGTGCTTGAAAATACTGATTAGTTGTGGCCATCTTGAAAAAAAAATTCAACATTAGGTTGCAAGAAGCTCCAGTTTTCGCTAAAGTGCCAAAAAACACAAGAAGTGTAGTGTTTCTGGCTTATCACCAAGTTTACTAATGAAATCAGTTTCTGTCACTCCTCAGATATAACGAAAGAAGTAGTTGTGTTGAGGATGTCTGTGCAGGGCTATCACAGCAAACCGTTTGTGGCTGGTATGCTTGCATTTGAAAACACCTAAATACTTTAATAACTCCCAGTCTGTGAAATCTTGGCAGCAGAGGAACATACCAGACTGATAACGGCTGAAAGTCTGCTGTCAAAATTATACAACAGTTTCTAAAGAACCAAAACTATAAAAACATATTTCAATCAACATCTCATCAGAATTCGCTCCAACATTAACAACCACGTTAGACGATGTCTGATACACAAAAGTAATTTAAAAAAAAGATTTGCATCTCGCTAACAGGTCTTAGCATTTCTTCAGGGAAAAAAATAAAAAAAACTATGGCCCACAGCCTGTTATGCCAGCATTTTACTTCATTTACTTACTGTATTTTAATGACCTTTATTTAAACAGACAGATCCCATTGAGATCACAACTCTCATTTGCAAGGGAGGCCTTTACCCAAAGAATCACAGTTTTAGATTGTGGGAAGAAATCAGAGTACCTGGTGAAAACCCACTCAAGCACGAAAAGAGCATGCAATGCAATTTTTTTTAAAGCAATAGTGTTGTTATAGCCCTTTGGTAAGATCTGGAAAATACAATTATTCTCAGTCTCGTACTATAATGCGATAACTCATTTGATCTTCTGTTCTATTACTACTAGTGTAATATGTAATGTGAATGACTCTCAGCTACTAACCACACCATATTTTAGCTGAGCGACAGTAAGATTTGCTAAGTTACAGCCAATTTTGTCCTAAGGTCAAGTTGCTGTGGTGGTCATCTTAAATTAGATTGACTTCAAAAGTTAATTAACTCAATTTGTTAATTAGTTGTACTTTCTGCAAGTTTCATTAAAATCTGGCCAATAATTCATAAAACATTTTTTTAGCAACAACATTCACAGACACTGGCAAACACTCACTCTGCTTTCTGTGAAAGGACAAATATAATAAGTTTTGGCATTTATTCTAAGAATATGGATCCAAAGTCTTCAAGTGATGATACTTTTATAACCTTTCCTATTAACAACTATCATGAAAAATAATGAAACTATATGCCATTGTTTTTTTAATTGTATTGTATACTGTATTTGTCATGGAGTCAACATACATTCAGGACATTTTTCACTTACAGTTATGTTTTATCTTGGTTACTTGTATTTTATTATAACAGATGACTGATAAAAGTCAAATACAGGATAAACTAGACATGGGTTTTTACGATGTAAAAACAAGTGTGCATTGCCACAAAGCATCTCATTGCAGCATGGCTTTGCCTGCAGCATTGGACTTGCATAATGAGCTTTGACCAAGTTCAAATGTGTTTTCTATACCAGCTTGTGCCTGTCACATCAGCAGGTGTTTAGAATTAAGGTAATTGTGTGACAATATGAAGTTTGAAGAGATTTTTTCTTAAAGTTGCATTAAAGTTGGATTTTGAACCCTGATCTCTGACATGAAAGTCCATGACATAGACCATTATACCAATGGAGTTGTGGCAGAAGCTGGTGGCAGGGGTTGGTTTGTATGTGTGCAGAAAGAGGCCACATTGCCAATACAATTATTGACACTAAACTGCATAATATTACAACAATAGAGCAGTATTAAGACAATATTACAGTAAAACATCAAAATACAATCATATTAGTATTGTAAACACTGAACTATTGAGATTAAATATTAAAAAAACTATGGTGCAGTACCAAGTTGAGTACAGCTGAGGGCAGTATTTGACCATTACAGGGCCCCATTGACTCCKATTATATAAATTTGGAATAAAGTTTAAACATTAATTTTTCAAAAACTACAAGTTGTACAGGCACCAGAAGGCATAGCAGTCATTTGGCACAGGACCTTTACAGATAGAAATTACAATGGCAGCTGTAGGACAAAGTAGGCAGGAGCATTGGACTTTCAGAATGAACTTTGACCAAGTTCAAATGTGTTTTCTATACCAGCTTGTGCCTGTCATGCCAGCAGGTGTTTGTAATTAAGGTGATTGTGTGACATAATGAAGTTTGAAGAGATTTTTGTTAAAGTTGCAGTAGCTGGATTTGAACCCTAATCTCCCGCATGATAGTCCACAGTGCTCATCATGAGACTATAGGAGATGTGGCAGCGGACAATCCCAGTGATTGGATTGTATGTATACAGAAAAAGTTTACATTGCCAATGCAATTATTGATACTTAAGTGCAATATATTACAGCAATAGGACAACATTATTACAGTAAAACATCAAAATACAATCATATTAATATTGTAATCACTGAACTACTGAGTTTAAATATTATAAAACTATGGTGCAGTACCATATTGTGTAGAGGCAGCAGGGGGCAGTATTGGACCAATACAAGGTTCCATTGACAGCCATTATAATTCATTAAACATTAATATTTCGAAAACTACAAATTTTACAGGCACCAAAAGGCATAGCCATCATTTGGCACAGGGGCTTAACAGATATAAATTACAATGGCAGCTCTAGGACAAAGTATGCAGGAGGAGAAGCATGGCAAAGTTGAGATGACTTGGATGGGAAACGAATCACAATAGTGTGCATAGCCAATGCAATGCACGCTGATTAGAGAAAAAAAATCTATTTACCTATGAACTACTTATTTAATTTATTTATCTGGTGTTAATCTGTATCTGCAAGAATTTCTACAAAAATATAATTATTTAGATTGTGCCTGTCATTGCCACTTTTTCCTTTCTGTTCATTTTGTGTCAAAAGTACCGTAGACATTTTGTATTTGTTAAACTGGACCATATTCATTTTGTATAATAATAGCATCAATGTTTAAATTGAAATGGTTATTTGTGTATATCAGGACAAGGAGCATCCTCGTGTACTCATTCCTGAGTTATGTCGGCTCTTCTACCAGCTGGGATGGGTGACAGGGACAGGCGGTGGGATCAGCCTTAAACAGGGGTTTGTATACAGATTTACTGRTGCTTTCTAAATTATGTTCTAAATTATGTTTAAAAATGAAAAACTTTCTAGGGATGCATGATAACTTGTGTTAGTGAATTATCTGTTTTGAACTTTTGGAATGACTTTTTTCTTTTGTTTAAATCTGAGATCAGTGTTGAAGGTCTTTTTTTATAATTAATGTGCCTTATTTAAAAAGATGGCCATTTGAGAAATTGTTTTGTTTGTATTTTAAGAAATGTTTGTT